TTTGCTGCAACTATAAAATATTTGCCATATTCATTGGGAATTTTCTCATATTTTTGGTAGCTGGTGTTGCGGAGCGGTTCAGTTTGGATTTTTGGTACGAATTCGGTTTTTGGCTTTTGGTCGGAGCTGGCATTAATTAAATTCTCATTTTCATGCGACGATATCGTTAAAATTCTCTGCGTGTTAGTTGTGTCTTTGAAATCTGCCGGGCGTGGCTAAGGGGCAATTAAAGCGACATTTTTCAAACGCACACAAAAAGCATTTTGCAATGTAATTAAAAAATATCACGTATACGACGCATGTGGCCCCGGGGTGCGATTTGTTGCCTATTTATGGGGCCATTTTTGAGCGGTCTCTCAACTTATTTTGCACGATTGAAGCACACACGCACTCTCCACGCTATTTCTGCGCCTCTTTATGGCTTATGATGGCAGTGGGGAGTGGGAAGCGTGGGAGGAGTCCTTGTAGATGGCAACATAAAGAGCCATTGAATAATGATATCATGGTGGGGGGGAAAGGCAGGGGTGGACGCAGCTGTGTCTTAAGCATATTTGGTTGCTTCATTTAGCCAACAATAGTCAAGTTTTCCTTAAAGCTCAGCATTCTTTTTGGCAACTTGATTACGTTCATTATTTATGCAGTATGATAAGACATAATTATTAAAGTTTTGTATTGTTAAGTTTTCATATAAAAAACGTTTATTTTCTCTTTTAAAATCTTAATTGCCATCATTATTATTCCACACGAACTTTTACTGTTTATTGACAATTGCCAGACGTATTTTATTCACGCAAATGAAATGTATATTAAAAAATAATATATGTATATATATATATATTTTACTAGATATTTTATTAAATCTATTTTATTTTATAAACATTCTATTCAATTATATTCTATTAGTCTTAGAAGGATTACAATTTTTTAAGGCTACACTTTAATTTGACAAAGGTTAACCAATTTATATTTTTATTAAGCTCGAAAAATGCAGTTTAATAGTTTAAGAACTACACAAGCTTAATCATTCACCAGACATCTGGAGTTTTGACCTTTTACGACAATAACAATTCAAGACGGATTTCAGTTGCAACCACAGAGATAAATTTAATACAAAATGCATAAACATTTGTCATAAATGTTTGTGAAATATTTGCACCAAACTGTCGAGAAATTTGAACTGTCAGCGACGACATAACAGCAGCGAAACTGCATGTTTGTGAAATATTCACGAAATTCAAAACTATTTTCAAGGCAAATGTGAAGAAGAAGAGAGACTTAAAGTGGGCAGTTTTGGGGTCATGTGAATGCTTGGATAAGCGACAAGTGTGCTTAATGACAAAACTTTGTAAATCAGTAAAGCATTTTATTACCACACACACACACACACAGCACTCATCAACGAGCAGTTAGATGACAGACATGTGAGATATGGAAACCTCATAATCACATGCTGCACAAAATGCTCAAGTGGGGCAGGGGAAGGGAGACCACAAGCCAGAAACTTCATATCTAACGTGCAACCAGAACAAACTCATTTGTGACTGCATTAAAATTAACACAGTGCAGAAGAGAGAAAAGGATATAAAAAAGAGTCAGAGAGAGAGAGAGATAGAATAACAGAGTTTTAGAGTTAGAGTTTAGAGAAAAAGAAAGCAAAGCTGCATGACAACTTTCAGCTGCATTTCCGCAGCGGCCGCAACACTAAGCGTAAAACATGCAACAAAAAAAAACATTTATATATTATGCATACGCCGCGGCAACAGCACAACTTTTTGCGTTCATACAATTGCAGATTTGTTGCCAAGTCAGTCATATTCATCACAACAACAACAACAAGGACACTTAACTAAAGTCAGCTTGGTGAAGACACGTCTGCTGATTTGGTTACCTGTGAAATTGAATTATATTTCAACAATTTTCCATATACATAATTAAAAACTTTTGGCCCTGACAGCGATCTAATAAGCGACGAAAATTTCGCGTCGCAAATTGCGTTGACACTTTTGCCAAGCTGCTAATTTACAATTTATAATTTCAATAAGCTTGCCGCACGTAAAACTAATTGCATGCGCCTCGTTGCCCCGCTTCGCTGAAATTTGTTATTTATTTATTTTGCTGTTGCTGTTTTCGTTGCTGCTGCCGCCAAGTGCCATCTGCAGCTGCAGTTACAAAGTCAACAACAATTTTCCAAAGTAAATAAATAAATTTGTCATCTGACAGAGCAGCGAAACAAAACAAAGGAATATGTAGCTCACTTTAAGTAGTTGTCTGTTAAGAAGTAATCCACAAACTTAATAATACGAAATTCTTCTTAAGAAGACGCATTTATTGCATTTATAAATATGTTGAGATTATTATATATTATATATTATTATATTATATATTATATATTATTATATTACATTGAAATATAAAACTCTTTCGTAAAATATTTGCCATATTTATTAATACCTTTTGATAATAACACGTCACCAATTAAGAAATTGTAATATTCAAATTACATCAATGATTTATAGTCTGTTTAATTTTTAAGCAGTAATAATTACATGAACACAAATATTTACTATTTAGTTTTCGTTATACACCTGAGTACGCAATTTGCATCTTAACGGTGTCCTTGGTATGCCTTGGAATGCTTGGTATCCTTGCAGCATCAACACCTAATTGTTATGTTATTTACAGTGCAAACTCGCTGTAAGGTTATCAGCTTGTACTTCCTGCCACAGGCGAAGGTGCAACCTGCCAAATCCAGAAAATCCCTGCCCCCGTCTCTGGCAGCAACATGCCTCAAACAATGGAGCTTAGCGCCCATTTACAAGCTGCAAGTCAACCAGCCGACGAGCAAGCGGCAGCAGCAGCAGCTGTTGCCACAACCAACACACACACACACACACATTGTTTGTGTAGCTCGTCGTGTATGTGTGAGTGTGTGTGTGTGTGTGTGTGTTCACAACTCCAACTGCAGTCCGTTGAATTCAGTTGCAGGCCAAAGACAACGTGGCGACGCCTACGCAGCAGCCGAGAAAAATATGCGAAAATTTGCCGTTAAGAGCCGGAGCAAACGCGACTTTGCCATGATGTCCAAATGTCCGGAGCAAAGTTTTCCCTGCTGGCACATGGCCAGCCCATGTATGTGTATGTAAGTAAGTGCGTGTGTGTGGGCGAGTGTGTATGTGTGTGGGGCTGACAATAATCCAAAAGTTTTACAGGCAAAACGAGTGAGAATTACATGGGCTGGCGGACTGTAACAGAAACCACTTGCAAGCAATTTTCATCAGCGATTTTTTGTTGGCTTTCTTTCTTTCTTTTTCGTTTTTTTTTTTTGTTTTTTTGTTTTTGCCACAGCTGCCACTGACAGCTCTGACGAACATTCTACTTAGTGCCTGACCGCACCTCGTACGCCTCGTTTTCTTCCCTTCTGGGCTGACAGGACAACAAAGTCTGTGCAAATCTCTGGGCAAACGCATTTAGCATTTGGCTGCACTATGTCCATGTCCGCATCCGCATCCGCTTTCCCATCCGGATCCATGGTGAAAAGTTCATTGTCTACGCCTCAAAAGGTAAATGATTTGGGACCAGCTCCAGAAGCAACCAAAAGCCAGTGCAACCGCAACCAGGGATAGTCCGAGCTTAGCATTTTCTTCTCTTTTTTATTGTTCTTTTTTTTTTTTGTTTGGGACATGCTAGCAGTGCTTACTATAACAGTGCCACCAGTTTGCAAGCATTGAGTACTTTGGGCTTACAGCTGCACACTTGCAGTCCTCACACAATTTCTAAATATCGACAAGAAGAACTTGACAGCCAGATACTTCGTTTCAAGTACAATAACAGTTCAAAATGTTACCAACAAAATGATCAGTAAATTACCGTTTTAACTTAAATTTAAGCAGTCAATAAAACAAAAATGGTTAAAATGGTTTAAAACAAAATATGAATACAAATTTTAACTTTATTTTCAATGTGTTCCGTTTTGATCAAACCATAAACTTATTCAAGAGATTTGTGGGGTGTGTCAGTCACTTTTTTATCTGCCTGTTGTTGTTTGATTTTTATGGACGTAGCACAACAAATTAGCAATTGATAACTTTACTTTAAGGCATCAGAAAAAAAAACTCTTTTTTTAAAAGTCAGGCAACACGAACAAATATGCCTCTTGAAGAAAAAAAATGAAAGAAAATATGCTGAAATGTGAAAAACAGCAGTTCAGAGTTTAGAGTTTACACTTGCCACAATTCAGATGCAGACAGTCTACGCCCACACAAACAATTTGCCCAGTGGTCAGACGCTTCGCTTACTTTCTCCAGCTGTTAATAAATTTAAAGTTTGCTTGTAGTCGCTTGCCAAAGGAAGCTTTGTTAACAAAAAAAAAAAAAAAAAAAAAAAAGGAAAAAACAAAAAAATGTAGTGGAAAACTGTGGCAGTAGCAGCTACACACACAGATAAATATATGTATGTGTGTTTGTGTGCATATATAAAACAGAAAGTTGAAAGTTTCCTTAAACGTTCCATGAATTGTTTCTCTTGTTATCAGCCTTGTTGTTTTAAATTCTGCTGCTGACCAGCATCCAAGCCGAGTCGCTAAAAAATCGTTTAACAGTCTGTGCACGAAGTATATGTAAGCTGCTGTGTATATTTTCGTTTGGCAAGACATTTATTTGCTTTGTTTTGGAGTTTTTCGCTTTGAAATTGGAAATATGCAACGATATACATGTCCTCTCATGTGAGCATCCATGAAAGATGAATGCAAAATTGCTTGTAGACAGTTGCATTTGACATTTATCACAACAGAAGACAATTGAAAAAAGTCTGTGTGCAACTAGAATATTCAAATTAGATTTCAAAATCAATCAATATCAACGTTATGTAAATGAATTTACCTGCAATTAGTTCACAAAATAGGAAATTACCAAGCCAACCTGAAGATTAACATATCTTAATTGTGACGAATTTGGTGTTCTCCTTTTGTCCCATTTAGCAATCAAGAAAATACAACAGAAAAGTTTAAGTAAATTCATTTAATAATTGCTTTATTTATTTTCATCGGCATTTCTTTAAGTACTTTTACAATTGAAGCTCTTTTCATGTCTTTGTGGCTTAAGATAATCCATAGTTTTCTACATAATATTAACTGGGAAACGTTTCTTTTTGTAATTCTTGAAACAGGTGCCGCATACAACATTTGTCATTGAGGTGCGAGAATTAAGAGTTTTTTGTATCGGTAATACTTAAGCTGGTTTTCATTTAAGTACACTATCAATTGACAAAAAATGTTAGTCAACTTTTGATATTCGATTGTATTAAGTAGATCAAAAATTGTTAAACACGTTACCAAAATCTTCTAAGCACTTACAAATTTCGATAAATTTTTAAAACTTTAGCAAAAGCTAGCTCAACTACTTTAATAAAAGGCACTTTTCTTAAGGTGTTTTAACTTAGAACGCACTATAATTTAACTAAGTTGATTAACCTCATGTGATGGCTTAGCTTGTGTACTCTTTGTTATAGTTTGTAGTGTTGTCTTTAAATTTTAGTAAGTTGGTCTGAAGCCATTGCGTTGCGATAGCACCGAATCGGGACTCTTTAGCTCCATGGCCAACTTGTAGCCCAGCTCTGGGCGACGGTCTCGTCCTTCAGCCATAGCCTTAACCTGTGAAAGAAGTTATCAAGTATTTATCCCTCTATAGAAGTGACTTTACGCTCATCCGCAAAACCCACCTCATTGGTATGCACAATAACCCCGTCGCTAGTCACCACCTTCTCCTTGGTATGCTCAATATCGTGGAAATCGGTGCCGCGGCAACAGTCATCTATCAAGATGGTGCGATATCCAGCGGATAGAGCATCCACAGCCGTTGCGCCCACACATACATCATAGGCCAATCCACACACGTAGATATCCGTGGCGCCTTTCATCTTGAGCTGCGCATTCAGCGTGGTATCCGACAGCTTCTTGTTATCCCAGAACACAGAATATGAATCCACCTCGGGATTGGTGCCCTTATACACCTTGATGCCATGGTCCACCACCTTTAGATCCTTGTGGAGCTCAGCACCCCACGAATCTTGGACGCAGTGGCGTGGCCACAAGCGCTGCTTCATCGGCGGCGGTCCAGCAAAGATGACCGTATCGAATACCTTGGCCGAATCGGCATCCAACTGTGTGGCGTAGAAATTAAACCATTTAAGTAATGCCACCTTTCAAATTGAGGGTTTTTTTCTGTTGTTTAATTTTGGGGTTTTTCTTTTGGTTTCAGTTTACTTTTTCTTCATATAATAATTATGTAAGCTGCCACTTAAATTTGCATTTTTAATTCACTCTGCGTCAGTACTCACCGCAGATGATTCATCCATGGCTCGCATTTTGACATTGTCAATAAATGAGACATGATCACTGGGATGCCAGTCGAGCGAATAGAAGACCGCATCAAAGTCAATCGAATCCAGCAGCTTGTTAATTGGCTCAAGTATCTGCAACAGAACGAAAGTCGCGCATTTATTGCACACAATCCCCAAAGATAATAAACAGGGGAAGAACAGGAGAAATAAGAACAGGGGGGACAGAATATCGCTGTATAAAATGCGGATGGTGTAACGTCTGAGATTTGAGTCCATAAACCGACGACGGAAGTGTGTGTTATTAATTTTGACAAATTCTCATGTTCGGATGAAGCAAGTGAAGTGCCGGCCAACAAGTGCACCACAGATAGCGATGGAGCTCTGTGGGCTTGCTGTAGGCGGGAGTGGGTGGCGGACGGACGATACCCAGAGGCAGATTCCGGCAGATGGCAATGCCATGAAGAACTGATGTCGACGGCGATGTCGATGGCGATGGTGATGGCGATGGCGATGCTCTCTAGTTGGCTCGGCGAGCAACTGCCGCTGACGATGACATCCGGCGTATGTCGCAGCGCGGATGTGACTTAAGTAAAGCATATCCGCTTCCGACTATGCACACGCACACAGCTACACAGTTGCAAAATACAGGCACAGCTACAGTTACAGCTTTTCTTCTTTTTTTGGCAGGGTTGGGAGGGGGAGGGGGAGGGAGAGGGCGCGAGCAGAGGTGAGCTGAGCTGAGCTGAGCTGACATGCAGAGCATGCCGGAGCAAGCCTCATCTTCATTCTCGTCGTCGTCGTCGTCGTAATCGTCATCGTCGTTCTCGTTGGCGGCAATGACTTTGGCTCATCCGCATCCGCGCTTCGGTTCGCTGCCTCCATTTTCATTTCTTGTTACGTTTTATGTCTTTCCGTCGCCGCATACCTGCCAGCGCCGTCTCACTGCCCCAACCCACCCTTCACTCCCACACGCTCCATCGTCGAGCAGGGCTAAGCTGCCCTGTCTGTGGCCACAACTCACGGGTCGCAGCTGCCAGCTCCACTTCTCTTCTTTTTTTTTTCGTCTTCAGCGACTCTAGGGCTCACCTCATGTCCTTGCTGCTGTGCACTGCAATTACTTATATCCAGGGAACCACTTATAAAATCATTTTGTACATCAACAATGAGAAACGCGTTCACCGGTCGCACAATCTGCCAAGAAAGCGAGAAAGAGAGGACAAGTAAGTGAACACGTTAGAGCGAGATAATAATACATCGAATTAGAAAGAGCAAACAAAATTCATGAAAGTATCGCCAAAACTCGGCAAGCTCGAACTATAAATGCTCTACATATATTTTGAGTATGAATCTTAAATCAAATCAATATGAATTTTATTAAGTATATTTGTAAAAGCTGAATGTCAATTTAAGGTAGTTATCAGTTACCATTCAGTTATATCATTTGGTAATATTTTTAATTTGATAACTTAATTTCCGACAAATGAAAGCTATTTAATCGAGGTGCATTACAAATAAAATATGTCGTTCACCCACAAAAATTTCAAAAAAGCTTATTCAAGTATACAGAACATATTTTATATTATTTTTGTAATAAACTGACTTGCATACCAAATTTATAATACCCTCTTTGCTAGGGCATTAAGTTGGTAACATGAGCAGCCACGAAAAATTTTAAGAAAAATTGTATGGACAAAGTAAGTGAAGCAGACGCCACAAAAGACGTCGGGCCAAAGTACATAAGCACAAACATGAAAAGCTACAAAGAAATTTGTATACATGTGCATTAGTGCGTGTGTGTATGTATGTGTGTGTGTGTGTGTGTGTGTGTGCTTGTGTGTGTACTGATGAGTTTCTTCATTTTATTCATTTTTATTTTTTGTCGCCGCCCATTATAAATGCGTTTTAAATGAAGTAAAAGCCAGTCAAAAAACCTCTCGAAAAAAAAGTACCCTCCGCACACATGGGAGCAAAGAGCTCGTTAGGTTTCGCCATTGCTATCTTGACTGGCAGCACAGAGCTGTATGGAGCACCATGTATAGAGTACCTACTATGAAAGAGGCTCCCATCATCAGCAGCAGCAGCAGCAGCAGCTACAACAACAAAAACAACAGCAGACTTGACAGCGTTCGTCGTCTAAGCTGATTATGTTCGAGCATATTTAAAATTAGTGAAGCGCTTTTAATTTGTTATTTATGTGCACGCTGATTATGAATGATTATGATCTATGCGCAAACACAGACGCACAGACGTAGGATACACACACACACACACACACTCACATTTGTCTGGAAGTGGAACAGAAATGGAAACAGCAGCAGGAGCACTAGCACGTTGCACGCAGCTGTCTGTTAGTGATGGGCTCGTGACACGTGACACGTGAATTCAGCACATCTAAATTTGCAAGTTATTACTCACTGAAGGATGATAATATTTCGAATACCAGCTGATTAACTCCAGTCTAAATGGGTAGTGCCAAAGATAATCTTTCTTTCTTGTCTAATATTTATTTATATTAGATAGCAATATATTTAACGCGCAGCAAATTTCAATGTATTACATTTTTCAATATACATATCACGCCTTTGCTAATTATTTGAACATAACATAGAACCCAACGAATTCTTTATTTTAGTAATATTCAGAGTAAATTTAATTGAGTAATGCATCAAATAATTTACGTAAATATGCATAACTTATACTATTAATCATATTTTTGGTTGAATTTGAATATTTCTAAAATATATATAAAAAAAAAACATGTCGAAATCAATTATCTCATTTTTATATGCATTTTATTGCATCAAGATGCGGATAACAGTTTACCATCGCTGGAAATCAGTTGTTTGTCGCTTGTTGTTGCATGCTTTGATTTGTGTAGCTGCTGCAACTGTTGGCAGAGCGTTTAAAATATGTCACCCAGCTAAATGCTTTAAATCGGCCAACGTGAGTAAGCATCAGCAGCAGCAGCAGCAGCAACAGCAGCGGCAGAAGCAGGTGGCAAGCAAAGTGAAACTGCTGGCTGCTTGAGGGGCGCTTAGGGGTAAGGTTAGTTGTTGTTGCTATTATGGGGCAGACAACGCTTAAGCAGTTGATGATTTATCGCCCGTTGGCAGTGGCAGTGGTAAGCATTAGTGCCTCTGCGCCATCGTAATGCAGAGGTGCAGCGGTGCATTGGCGCCGCATAGTTGCGGAAGTGATTTACATTTGCATGTTGAACATAGGACGCATTTTGAGCATAGTTTTGGGTTAGCATACTTAGACATAATGGCCGGATAGAGGTAGTTAATGTATCAATTTGCGAGTTTGCAGCACTCTATGTGCCCTTGTATGAGTGTGTGTGAGTGGCTCTTGCTCTTAACATTTATCACGCATGGGATTAGGTGTGCTCCAAATGGCTTAACAGCCCATAAGTGGCCCAAAGTTGAACTGCTCTGCAGGTAGTAGGTAAAGTAAGGCGGCTAACAAGATAATTTATGTCAATATAAAATGCTCGATATTGATTTGACTAATAATTGATTGATTCGATTTAAATAAAAATAACATAAATTACATTTTTGATAATTCACTTTGCACTTTATAAAATACCGAACATTATTTTTTTTTATTTATTTATATTTATGTAGAACGTATTTAACTCAATAAAGAATATGCTGATTATAATAATGAGCTATCGGAAGGGGTATACAATGCAGCTGTTTTTTCTTAATAATACTTTCATTTAATCATTTAAAATTCTTTAAATGTACTTTTGTATAACATAATTGATCTACAAAAATCATATATTATTCAATTTAATATTTTAAATCTCCTCCTTACTTTCCTTAGTTTAATCAAGTAAACTTTCATCGTTTAGTTGCTCAACATGTTAGTTAGGCATCAAAACTCTCTATCTCTCAATTTAGGCCACAATTTGCACTTGAAATTCGTCCAGCTCCTGGAAATTCTGGCCACAAGAAATCACAGCAGCAGCATCCAATTATGAACCATTTGACGCAGCTGCCACTGCCATTGATGTTTCTGATGAGCTGAGCCTCCCCGTTGCTTAAGTAAAGTTGGCAAATTAACACGCACCTCATCCACAGATTTCTCGCTCTTTACTGTTGGCTAATGCAAACAACTGACCCTTGGCCCAAGCACTTATTGTTATGGCCACCACCACCCATTCCATATTCTAGACGACCCACTGGCGCCGCAGTTTAATTTAAAGTTAAAACTATGAATGTTTGATTAAAGTGCTGGGCAATTTCCGAGAAGTGCTGCACCTTAAAGTGTGTTGGAGCAACAGGAGAAACGGACGAATTTCTGTTCATTCATTTAGCTGGCAAATATGTTACGGTTAAATTAATTATTGAGTGTCGAGAACGGAGCCCACAGACACATTGCGGATGAGACACCCATATCAGGGGAATGGTTTGCGGTGTGCGGGCTACGGTGTGCGGGGTACGGGGACAAGACAAGACAAGGCACCTTTTGGTAACCACAGCAAATCTTAAATTCAAATTACACATCAGCCCGATTCTGTCAGGACCAACAAAAGGGAACAAGTTATAGAAATATCTTTGGTACACCTACCAAACGTTTCCTCTGCCCTCTTTTTTCTCTCTTTCTCGCTTTCTCTCTCGCTCTCTCTCTCTCTCTCTCTCTCTCTCTCTCTCTGACTCTCTTTCTCTCTATGTATCTATCGCTTGCATGTGTGAACAGTAGAAAGTTTCAGTCATTTGGCTGCTGTTGCCATACGAAATTTCGAGTCAATTTCAGTGCTGAATAAATTTCAAAATCCGTAGAACCCAAAAGCGTTGCCGTATTCGGGGTTGCTTATCCCGCACACAGTAAAAAATTTGAAGTTAAAATTAAAGAATGTTGTAATAATAAAAATAATTTAATTACTTGATTTGGTTTCTGCGAGAGCAACGCTAGATTGATTAACAAGTAATTAAACAACTAACATCTAAAAACTTGTCTTAAAAATGTTTGGATTCTTAAAAGAATAAAGTTTTTAAGCTTAAAAAAAATACTGGTATTCAAATAAATAAGTTTATCGTGCTATTAAAGGTGAATAATGTTTGAATGAAATTTTATTTAATAGCAACAATTCTGTAAGATAAACATCACATGGAATTGAATTTAAAGTCAAACTTTTTTTAACTGCGCATCGATTCTGGGAGCTGCAGACAAACTGTCAAAGTGTGCGCCGAGTGGGTGAGTGGTTGTGTGTGTATGTGTGTGGTGTGCTTGACTGTGTGTGTGTGTGTGTGTGTGAGTGCCAAAAAAGTTGGCAAGCTAAACGAATGAGTACGGCAAATGGTGACGTCGACAAAGTCCCAGGTCTAAAACAGCCAAAACCGAGGAGAAGGTTCACGAATCGAATGAAATTCAACGTGATATTGAAGTATGTGCCAAGAGGGAAACGTGCCCAGGCACACCCACACACGGGTGCTCTCTCAGACAGCTAAGCCTATGTGTGAGGCAGGTGCTAAAGCAATTTCCGTTTTGAAATTGTTGCATAAGTTGGCGGTTCTGTGCCTGCCATTTTGCCAGATCCACTCCCCTAACCCAACACGCGCTGCATACAGTTATATGCGACTATATATATCCTTTTTGGCATACTGCTCACATACACAGGCCAGACAGCAGCGAAACATTGTCGCTGACAGTTTGTGGGTTTGCGGACGCGCAGAAAATTACATTATACAATTTATGCGGCTGACTGGGACCAGAAATTGTTGGCCAACTCCCTGACGAGCGTCTAGCGAAAACTAACTATAAATAAGCTTTGCGCATTCCAAACTTCACTTCAGCCGGCATTATGTACATATGTACATACGTATGTATTTTGACATATCACTGGCACGAGCTCACCAAGCCAACAAGCCAACGAGCCAACAAGCCAACGAGCCAACAAGCCAAGAGGCTCATGCGCCAATAAGCGGCTTAAGCGAAAACTTTTGTACAAATTATTCCGATAATCAGCATCAGACCAATCACATTTGTGGCTATTGATGTGTCATCTTAGCTATCACAACGGATATATAACAAATACTAAGATTGCTTACGAACATTTTAATTTGATTCAAATCAAACAGACTTCAGTTTTCTACTTCCAATATAAAATTTAAAAAAAAAATAAAATACAATAAAGTATTTGAACAAACTATTCCTTTAATCTGCAAGCCATTCAAAATGTAGCTTAT